ATATCTTCATTTCTTTGTAAATTAATAATTACTACGGTAATACGACTCTTTTGGATAAGTTCGTTTTTAAAACTGTATAATTGTATAGAAATTGTCTATTTTTAAGTGGTACTCGTCATAGACGACATTTGGACAGGGATCTTTCGTTATAATACACAACTTTATAATGTCTCTATGAACTGAATTCAAGAATAGTAGATTTCATAATTTGCACTTTGGCATTATATAAATCGGTTAGCACTTAAACGCACACACTTTCATCTTTAGTCAATGTACAAATAATGTCTAAGTAATCAAAAAATCTTGACGGAATCACTCAATCGAAATTGTATTATTGTTATAATATTCATGTCATAAACTATACTCAGTAACTTCCGCTTGGAGCCTTTCTAGGACTACTGCTGGTCTCAAACCCGGATAAAGAAGGAGGGCATGGGATTAGCGACCCCATCCCTTACAAAACTAACTCGCTAAAAACACGCTAACCAGAAAAAATAAATCAAACCAGTAAATTGACTTAATCTTTCATTTATAGAAATTAATCATAGGGGAGAGAGTGTATGAAACTTTGAAAATATTTAATCACCAGAATAAAAGAAATAAACCCCATTGTCCTAATCTAGATAAAAAGTGATCAAAAAGAATGATAAATAGAAAATAATCATTAGCAAAAAACACATATTTTTGTAAAAAATTACAAGGGGGGAAATGTAGTTAGTTCATGATGACGTGAAGACTATAATAATGCTTTTTTTGTGGATATAACTCTGGTTTCACGTAGTCGACGTTTGAATATTCTTCAATGTAAAGTTATTTTTAGTATAGATTTCTAGAAATCTATAACTATGTTTTAAAAATGATTTCAAGGGAAAATTGAATGTCATGAACCTTCTACGTATTTCAAAATAAAGAATGTAACTGATCCGGAATGTCATGCGCTAAGGTATATTGTGATATGTTTTCGTTTGTTGACAAGAAAAAGTATCAATGAACAAACTGCTCCAATTTTAAATCGAAATTACTTGTTTATGATGTCTTGGATATCTTTAAATATCACCTACTGAAAAAAACCTGTGAGGTGACCAAATATTGTTCAGATATTGGTTTATGGAGCTTTTAACTGTCGATGTGATCCATATCGGTAGATATTTGCTCCTTGCTTGGAGTAAATTCAATAGACATAGTACATGATTCTATACAGCGGGTGACATAACTTAAAGTCGACAACCATGACGATGATGTAATCATAGTTTATATTCCTCTAAATTTGGAGTTTAATGTCAATTTATGCTTTACATCACCCAACTTTATTATTTACCCTTAAATCATATTTTTTCATATATCCACCTTTCTATTGGAGTGGATACTATTATTTCATTTATGGTAATGGGGCGATTTACCTTAATAAACATTTCCCCTCTAGGTTTTACATTGTCTATGATTAACTAAATTAACTAGTTATTTATTTTGTCATGATGACATCTGTTCACTTAATGTTTCAATATTAGTTTCGTGAGGAAAATTTGCAATTTGGCTAAATTAGTCACTCCCTTACTTACATGATAAATGAGTTGTCCTGATGTAACAAAAGGTCGATTAAATGAGGCCAGTAAACAATGAATATAGTCATTTGAAATAGGAAATGATTACTTGTGATGAGTTGAAAATGAATCTCAATTTTAATATCAGTTTGTTGACCTTACTAATGAAACCAGATAATTACAGGTAGTTAGATATACCGATTGAATAGAGATGTTTCCCGCTAATCATTATTATCTATTTGTCATATAATTGTTACCTAATTTCATATAAAAAGGATATCACTAATACTGTAGTGTAGGAGAACACAGGTGAGGACAACCGAATCATATTTGGCACAAAATTACAGTTACTTGGTAAAATAGAAAAACCATACAATAATACTTAATTTGCAAAATGTTCAATGTCTCGAACTTCGTTGTTCTTGCAATTCCGTACTAATTGCTTTCTATTTCCGTCCTTCCTTTCTTGATCTTCCACATCTTCTGCCGCCAGACATTACATTCCTGACTCGCGTCATATATTACTTATATCAATATAAGTAGCACGTACCACAATACTATTTAAAAGTGAAATGGTTATATTTGTCAAAGCATGATTGTATTCTTTATTGGCTAGTGTTATAGTAACTAAGACTACTTAGCAAAGTTGTTGAAATTATGCTATTTACTAAATTTCTATGGAATATTAGTTGGTTTGTAATTAGTAATTAAGTTCTTCACCTGGTCAAAATCAGCGTCAATATATTCACTATCTTAGTCTTGTTGGTCTACTTATAGAAACTTATGAGCTGTAGTACTATTCAATGGAATATGATACAAGGTAATCGGTTTGATTATTTTTGAATATACTGCGAATGATCATGCAATCACGATTACTGTAAACTTAGAAATCATTCCACACTATGCATCATTTATTTATTTTCACTGTGAAATTAACTTTTCATCTCATAAGCTTCCTGTTGTTTTCTTGAAATATGGAATTTTCAATCTAATCCCAATGGAATTATTAATTTTAATTTACGAAACAATAGCTGAATAATTGGTCTATTCTGTTTGTCCTTTAACCCGTTTCTAGACGCAAACAAAGATCGAGAAGACGATATAATTAACTAAATAATGATGATGATTGTTATCTCGAACCAGAGTCTGCATAGACACTTCTACCGTGTATAATATAGAATCAAGTAAGATAAACGACCATAACAATAATAGGAAACAAATTGATTCTTATCTAAGAAAATATAGTCTCTTTGAAAATTAAAATACAAATCGCTGATGAATTTGGAATTAAATACCTTTTAAAAAAAGAATTATTCCTTAACGATAAGTTCTAAGTTGAATGACGTGGAACATATTACGCTTTATTGAACCATTTAGAACAATGGTCTGATTTTCAGTTGATCTGTACAGTTGAATAATAAGTAAAAACACATATATGGAACTGGTTACTACCGAAGGATCAGTTAATGAAAATATGTTAGTCTCATTAAATATTGACGTCTGCTAGAACAGCTCAGTAGTAATATGACAAAGTTTGACACTAGGTGACACGAATATGAATCCCACAGAGTGTACTGGTACATTCAAGACTGATGATACGTTCTACTGAAAAGTCTCAACTAACACGAAAATTAAGTTCACTCGTTTGTGCCACTCACTACCAACTATCGAATATCAAACGTTATCTTACAACATAATCATCAAATTTCTCCATCTTACTTGCTTATGCCTGTTACCCCTAGTGGAGGAGCATAGGCCTCCCACATGCATTCTTCATCCATTTACAGTTTAATTTGTTTATTCTGGTTAGTGTTTTATTTAGGAAGGTTGTTTTCTACGGCATGTAGTTGCTGACCCTCCTCCTTTACCCGGGTTCCAGACCAATAGTAATCCTAGAAAAGCTACAGTCGGAGTTGTCCACCTACTCAAAAAAACGTTTAGACAAAACTAATCTAATCAAAAGTAAACCAATGTATTTATTGTACTAAAAATTACTATTCCAACTTTAACGTGTGTGTGTGTTTGTGATTGTGTGTTCTCATTTCACTGTGTTGATCAATTAAAAAGAGAATTAAATACAATTTGTAAATATGCACAAATTATATTCGTAGTTCGTATAAGTTTTATTGTTATGATTATATACAACAGGGACTGTATTGTCACTTTTATGGAAAGAATTGTGTATAAATATTGTCATTAGTTCAATGAGGAGAATAATAATTTATTAATCAGAACAAATTAGAAATAAAAGATAGTGAAATATGGTAGTTTTTATTTTTGAAAGCAAAACAAGAATGAAACGAAGTAGTTGCATAAGATGAAGCAACGTAAATACTGGTGGTAAAAACAAACTAGAGAAAAAGAGGTAAAGAAACGAGGCAAGTATTACAAGTAGATTTCGGTGAGAAAAAAAATAAAGGAATTTAAAGAGAGGAGATGATCTCCCTTTGGTAGACTATTTTATTTATTCACTGGATCTTGTTTAAACAACAGATCATGCAGAATAAGTAATGATGACTATGATATACTTATCCGTCTAGATCTTCATTGTGTATAAGTTGTATGTGTATATTTACGTGTGTTTGTGTGTGTAGTTTATAGGATCTGTTAGTAATACTAATTTATGATGAAATAAGCAAATCATTGAAAGAATACACAATTGAAACATTGAATAACAAGATAAGATAAATGATTTTAATGTTTCCAAATGTATTTTTTTTTAAAAAAAAAGATAGTCAAAAGGAAAACAGAAACATTGTCAATATTGAATTTTATTTTAAAAGAAATAAGTGAATAAAAGCTATGATATTTAATCATCACATGGTCCCCAGTTTAATATGGGCACAGAGGGGGGTGGTGGAGGGAGGGGAAAAAGAGATGGGTGATTAGGATGTATGAAAAAATAGAAGCAGTATAAATTAGCTAATTGAGTACTATATATATATATATATATATATATATATATATTTGTCCAAAAGAAAAATGAGTTTTTCATTGTATTTATTATTAATTAGCCACAGCAGTATGAGAATTCATTGATTTATTATCGGTAATAATAATAGCCGTAATGTAAGTAATACATAAGTAGTATAGTCATTAAGAATTATTTTAGTGGTGAATATATATATATATATATATATATATATATATATATATATATATGTTTTTGAAGTGGAAAATTTGAAAGGAAAATGCTTCTTTCTTTTTAAGTGTCTGTTTATGAAAAGAAAGACCTGATGATATGTGGTCATTTTGAATAACTTAAAAGATTAATCATATAACAGTGACTTAAATACACGATGAATTCAGTAGTGAGGTGGAGTATTTAAGTATGCCGAGAAAAATGGATGTAGAAAAAAAGAAGAACAATCGTATCCTTTAAAAAAACAAAACAGAGAGGAAAAATCTGAAGAGAATATGAACAAAAAAAGACAATTCAAAGTTATATCATAATTTATTTTATTCTGATTCACTGAGTAGACTAGATCGATTCACTAAACCTGTTGACATTGGTAATGTACCTTGATTAATTTCAAGTGTTCTAGGTACATCATAAACATGACTACCTGTAATAGAATATGGTGATCCAGGCGCTATAAGCCAATTTCTTATATGTGGTTGTGTATTAGTTAAAAATGGTGATAATCCAACTGTATTTGTTTCATTATTTAATAGATTTCTTAATTTATTTTGTTGTATTAATGGAGTTGATGTTAATATAGCTAAACTTTGTTGTAAATCATCTGTACCTGAACCAGATGATGATGCTAAATGAATTGGTATTGATGGTGGTGATGGTAATGGTGGTAAACCATTACTATTACAAGTGACTGTTAAATATTGATTTGTAAGATTTGGATATTGATTGATTTGTGCTGAAAAATCATTATTATTATTACTGCTACCATTATTATTAGTAGTAGTAATCGTCGTATTAGTAGTATTAGTAGTAGTAGTAATAATATTATGACCATGTAATGTTGATAAAATCATTTGTGAATAAGGATTTGTATGTGTTCTTATAAAATTATATCCATTCTCATTGATTATATTTGATGAATGGATACCATTTAATTTCATTGGTGTATTATTACTATTATTATTATTATTATTATTGATTTGTTCGATCATATTGGTATCATTATTGATTAATTTCACTGGATGATATATTGATTTAGTATCATTAATTCCAATAGTACTACAACTTGATGTAAATTGAAATAATTTATAATGTTTACATAAACGTAAACATTTAGCACTAATTAATAAAAAGATTAATGTAGTAAGAAATGTACAAATCACTGCAATAGACATTTCTAATAATGTAAATTGTTTTTGATATAAATAATAAGATTGATCATATAAAATTTCATTACGTAATAAATCATCTGATTGTTTAATATAATAATTACGATTATTCGTTTGAGTATTGATTAATTCATGATCAATTAATAATGTATTATTGATTTTTGGTAAATTAATTAATTCTGGTCCTTTTAATGTTACTATAACTTCTTCTGTTTCTTTTTTATCATCCCATGTAGTACATGTATATTTACGTGGTTTTTTATCTAATGTAATATTTAATTGAACTGTTGCTGATGGATTATTTATAGTTGAATTTATATGATATAAATAATCATTATTTTGATTTATTAAATGATTATTTATTGAAGTTAAATATTTTACTTCACGTAATTGTCCACTTTCTATATAACGCCATGCTACACCTGGTGGTGTATGACTTAATATTTTATTTGATATAATCATATTTGTATTATATAATAAATATTGTGAATATTTTGGTACAGTTACTGCTGTACATGATATTAATGCTCGATTTGTATCATCTAATATATTAATAAAAATTTGTTGTATACGTGATGTTGGACATAATTGTTCCGGTGTTAATTTGATTAATTCATATATATTTTTAATATTTTCTATAGAATTCTCTTTTTTAATTAAATGTATACATGTCATATTTAAACCAGGTAAAGTATTTTTCCAATCTATAATACGTTGTATCATCCATGCTAAACGACAATTACATTCTAATGGATTGCCAGTTAAATCAAGTAATTTATTAGGATAATTAAAATATTTTTCAAATTCATCATCAATTATTGTAATTAAATTATCAGATAATATTAATCTATCTAAACTTGATACTTTATGAAATATTTCATAATTAATAGATTGTATACGATTCCCTCGTAGATTAATTTGATTTGCTGATAAACCATGAAATGAATCTTCTGTTAATAATATACCATTATCGGGTAATGAATGTTGTTCATTTAAATATAAATGATTTAATTGTAAACCATAAAATGTATAAGATTCTATACGAATTAATGAATTATGAGATAAATCTAAATGTTTTAATTCAATCATTTTAATAAATGTTCGTGATTCAATAAATTGTAAATTACAATAAATAATACGTAAATATTCTAATTTTTCTAAACCAGTCATATTAGCTTGATTTAATGAATTTGGTATAGGGAAATCACTTTGTTGTATAAATAATTTTGTTATACCATATGGTAAATTAGTTGGTACACCATATAAATGATCTTGTCTATCACAATGGACAACATTTTCACCTTTTGGACAATGACATTGATTTTCGCATAAACCTGGTTGAATATATTGAGCATTGAAATGATTCATAATAAACATTATAATTATAGTGAATATATAGAATTGTCTATGTATTGAAAACATTTTGAGAATTAATAATAATTAATTATTGAATGATGTAATTACATTGAAATATTCTTGTTATTTGTTAGATTGTTTGTTTAAATATTCTGAAAAATGAAATGAAATGAAATCAATTCAATTAGAAAGTATTGGATTGAAACAAGGCTATATAAAAACCTGAAGTCAGTCAGCTACAATGTAGGATCAGGCACATATATGCATTGGTCCAAGTAGCCATACGTCATTGACACAACATGATGAACATCGGATTCATAAAAGTAGTTAAGTCAATGGTGGTAATAGTATGAAAGAAAGATTCCATATAAGGATATAGTACAGGAAGAAAGAATAAGTTCGTAGAAAGTAAGATATAAAACGATTTTAATCTCATAATTTAAGGGAAGACAGAGAGTGTGTACACTGACGCCATTGTGATCGATTCTGAACCATTTCACTCAGAGTTTCTAACCACTGGTTACGATAACCACGCGGACCCCAATCAAGTAGTCTGCATCCCCTAACATGCCTCAGACTTCAGGCACTGATGTTACGTTTTAGTTTAGTCACCCATAACTTTCTTCCAACCATCTCCAACACCGATTAGCATTGCACGTTGTGGTAATCGGTGTTCAAGCATACGTAACAAGTGGCCCAACCATTTCAGTCGATGAAGATTTACGACCTCATCAACTGATTTACCTGTAAGCAATAGATGACCGCTTTGTTCTAGTATAAGATTGATTGAAGTTAGATATTAACATTGTTGGATTCTGGATGAACGGTCTGAAGGTCTTGATTTTGAGTCCCGCGTTCAGGACCGTAGATATGCACTGCTCAGGAGTTTCATGCTAAAACGAAACGGACGTCTAGTGCTTCTATGTTTTCAATAGTAGTTTAACATTGTTCTACTCATGATATAAATCTAAACTCAACAATCTCCACAATCCAATATTGATAACTAAAATCTTTATCTATTAAATCAAGTTGATTTGGTGGGAATTATTTAGTGAGTAATGACTCAATTTTAAATACACACTAATAGGAGATATCAGCAACAGCCGTCTCTGGGAGAGAACAAACTAGCTTCCAGCTGAAGAGGAAATTCAGAAAACACGATGAAAATGGATAGAATATACATTACGCAAATCATCAATTCGAATCACGAGGCAAGCCCTAACTTGGAATTCTGAAGGGAAACGGAAAAGAGGTAGGCCAAGGAATACATTACGTCGGGAAATAGAATCAAATATGAAAAGGATGAATAGGAACTGGAAGGAGCTGGATAGGGTTGTCCAGAACAGGATTGGATGGCGAGTGCTGGTGAGCGGCTTATACTCCTTCACGAAAAGTAACAGGCGTAAGTAAGTAAATAAGTAAGTAAGTTATAAGAGATGGTTTAAACTTTAAAAGTATTTTGAAGATATTTGCATATCACCCCTATTTACATTCAGAACAGATTGATTTCACAAAGATTAAATAAACACTATTTTTCAAACTTAATTTATAAAGACATTAAATCATCATTGGATTATACATACTTTCAGATAAAGCTTATTGGTATAGGTCAGTAATCAACTATTAGATACTTTACTCTGATTTATATCTTTTAATCTATTTGTGTTAGTTTCTAGGAAATTTTGCTTTAAACTGTAGATAATTTGTTTATAGAAATAGGAGTATATTGTGATCTTTTCTTCAAACATTTGAACAAACTAAGTGAGTTATGAATGGGGAAAAGTAAGTGACCGTCAGTAATATTCCACATTGTAATTGTACTAAATTTCAAACAGATTAGACAAAAAAGCTTACATAACAGATTTTTACCGGTTCTCTAGGACAATGGCAAATTCACAGTTTAATCATTGAAGCACTTGACCTTTAGCAACTTTAAGATTATATTTTACAAGCTATTCGGTACATTCTAGTCAGACAGTCGAGTAGTATCAATAGCTTCGACATAAACTTATTTCTATGGATTTAATTCTAAGTTCTAAAATATCTATTCAATTACGGATATATATATGGCCGGTGAGAGTAGAGAATATTCGTAGGTTACTAGTATCTGATCATAGGTGTCTTCGAAATATTGCTCGTCTATCCTGGGACCATCGAGTAAGTAATGCAGTTGTTAGGAAACGGGTACTAGGTAAGGATGACAAATCCATTGATGAAGTAGTGAAACTTCATCAGTTGAGATGGCTGGGACACGTGTTACGTATGCCCAACGACCGACTGCCTCGACGTGCGATGTTCAATGGTATAGGAGTAGGTTGGAAGAAAGCTAGGGGCGGCCAGACCAAAACATGGCACAAATCCATGAAGTCACTGACAAGTGGACTGAGTCATGTCGGTAGGTGTAGACTACCTGGTTGGGGACCGCGAGATGATAGCAACCGATGGTTAGAGACCTTGTATGACATGGCTCAAAATCGTTTGCAATGGCACAGGTGCATCCACTCTTTGTGTTCTCCCAAATTATAATCTCCCGAATCCTTCTTGTCTCTTTCCAAAGTTATTTCACTGGATTATACTCTTTAAATAACATCTTCAAATCCTAATCTTTCCAATTTCTGCTTATACTCTTATTACCTCTACTACTACGGGATTTGAGTCGACAATTGTATCTCTGTGCTAATGTAGTGTGGCAACTCGAACTGATGTACGCACGTACGTACGAAGTTCTACGTTGTTACTGATTGACTGACTGACAGATATATACACTACTGTTAAGTTTTTAATGATGATGAATACTACTCAATCTAAATTACTTATTATTATTTTAATTAAACATAACAATAACAACAACTGACTATCATGTATTTTGCATGAATAAAAAACATAACTACTGAATAATTAAAATGAGTAGAATTATTTGAAAGGATAAATTGTAAATAAGAAGTAAATCTATAGTATAAATGAATCATTTGATAGATTGTTTTTCCTCATATGATTATAAAAAGTGATAATAATAATAATAATAGTCACAATAATAATACAAAACAAGAAGAAGTATGCACAATAGGAATTATACTATACTAACTAGATAGAGACATAGACGGTAATGAAAATTCACTTCAATGATATATTTAGCCGGTATCTATGAGTAATTTTGCACTTGTACACGTACCATATATACGATGTGTGTACAAAGTTGGGCATTGTGTGTGTGTATGTGGGCGTGTACGTGAAACAATTCTATACTATTTTTTTAATAAAAACTTTAACTGTAAGCCTTTCAGTAAATCTGTCAATCATAATACCTATAAGCAACATTCTAATAAGATGAGAAAATTTGATAATAACATGTATATTCTATGAATGAATAAAGACCAATACTGAAATGTTTTATTTAGATTTTCCTAATGGTTAGTTTTTCGTTTGTTTTAAGAGAAAGGACAAAATATTGACTATATGGAAATGGTATTAAAAAAAAGAAAAACAATATTTGCCATAGCACCAGTACTTTTATATTTCCACTGGATATAACAGAAGGGTTACAATAGCCATAGAAAGAAAAGATTCAAACATAATGTCTTTATTTTATTTAGAAAGTGGCTCAAACAACAATGAAGTTGATATCCTTAATGTTACATTATAATGTTACAATAAAAAGTTGAGCATCTGGGCTACCTGTTCCTGCCATCTAGATATTTCAAGAAGTTATCTGTTTTTGTTTGTTTTAGGATATCATTATGTTTATTAATCGCATATCCTATTCTGCTGCGTTTCTGAAAAGTGTACAACCTTTCGTTGTCAAAGTTACAAAAAACTCAATAAGAGACAATGTGGTTGAGGGCAATATACAACGAAAAGAATGTACATTATTCAGATGTTCATTTACTGAACGTCTAACATCTAACTGGCGATCACTCAATATTTATCGCCAGGACCGATCAAGAACAAAGAAACGGAAACTTGTTGAAATACTTTACGCTGAAAATTCTATATTGTACCGAAAATGTAATATTGAATAAAGCTAATAAAAATAATATTAATTTTATATGGTCAATCTGTAATTTTATGATTATGTTGGGGTGATTCAGAAAATTTCTTGGCAAAGACAATCAAGGATCAGGAAACATCAAGAAGCGTTTCATCCAATCAACGTTCACTTGAAGTTTTAGCCAGAAATATCAAAGAAGTGAAACGTCACATGTAGAGGTTCTGATTAACTGATTGCTATACTGTTACTATGTTTAGTAGCAGCATTCCAGAATCTTCGAGCAACCGAAGGACATTTAAAATATTACAAAAATCCTGCATTTTTTTGTATTGAAATGAACCTCGAAAGAAGGTACTTCTCGCATACTTTGCACCTTCTCTTTCGTGTTCAGGTCACTGTATAGTTCTAGTTTGGGGCTTACAGAATAGCTTAGGAAACGAATATAGCGCTCAATTTGCAAGACTTATCAGATTATTTATTAAAAATGGAACTTTGAAATTATAGTTATGTTTCTAAGTAATTAGTTTCATCGACTACTAAAAAGGTATATCAATGGATGATATAAAGTAGATACAGTCTTTGGTGAGAATTTAGTCAATGGACAATCATTGAGCGATGCTAAAGTAACCATGAGAACGTTCACCTACTAACTAGCACTAATAAAAGGTTATAAGTCAATGTAAGAAATTACAATTATGATTTACAGTTGATAGTTAATAATAATAATTAGATGTAGAGTTTACATCACTAACTGACACGTAGCTAAAATGCTAAAACATTATTTAACCAAATAGTTGAATGGATTTCGCATCAAAATTCAAGATCTATTATCTTATATTTGATTGGTTCGTCCATAAATTATAGTTTCGCTCAGTCTTTTTTTTCTTTTTCAGTCATATTGACTGTATTGTGGGATACTATTAAAATCTCTTACAGCTTCAACGTTGTTAATGAGGTAATGGCAACTTGGACCGATGCATATATGTGCCTGGTACTACGTTGTAGCTGACTGACTGACAGCTTC